CAGCCCCTTCCACCAGAAATAACCAAACAGTTTTCACCCTTTGCCCCCTCGTAGCAATTAGGGGTACCCCATCAGAGGGAGAATATTATAAACATCTACTTTGGGTAGAAATATTATACACAGTTAAGCAGAGATAGGCCCTCAAGGAAGTCAGTGCAAAAGATGAAAACACATCAAAACTGTGGCTGGAGGTGCATCTGAAGAAGATTAAAGTCACAATGGCCAGATATACACACTTCTCTAAGGGATAAATGGAAGCTTGAAATTATTAGTGCCACAATTTTTAGATTTCACATATAAATAAATCATTATCACATTAGGGGTGAGGTGGGCCATCCTCTCCAACCAAGACTAAGACTGGGACTAGGACTACTAAAACTAAGACTAAAGACGAGACTAAGGCTATAAAGATCAAGGTTAATGATGTCATCCATGTACATTTACTTATGTGATCTGCTTCCCATTGGATCAATATTACCTAAACAACTATACGTGCAATAGTATTCATTGATCATAATTTCATCCCACAATGTACCCACCTTGTGATTTTGCTGCACCCTCCCCTACTCTGTTGTTGCCAATGTCTCTCACACTGGAGCACCACACCACTGAGTTATGGAAAGTAGCACTAAAAATCATATAATAATGTTAAAAAGTTATCATATTGGGGCTAGGGATTTAGCTCAGAGGCATAAACACCTGCCTTGTAAGCAGGTGGTCGTGAGTTCGATCCCTGGTACCGACAAACACACATACACACATACACACACACACACACACAAAGTTATCATCTTGTGGAGCTAAGTTACTACACAGATGTCCAGGACTGCATGAGTCCAGGTGCCATGGACTGGACATGCCTGATTAAAAAGGACACATAATGGGTGAAACCACAAACTCTGAAGTCAGAAAGCAGTGAGTTCAAATCTAAACTCCACCACTTACTGTGCCCCAAGAACTACTTTAACTTTTTCAAGCTCATATCATCACTATATCATAAGATAGCTGTGATGAGTAAATGAGATAATATATGTAAGGGATTAGCACATAAAAGGAACTCAGTAAGTGACACCTCTTCTTTTTTTTTTATTTTTTTATCAGTACCAGGGATCGAACTCACAACTGCGTGCTTGCAAGGCCAGCTCTTATGCTGCTGAGCTAAATCCCCAGCCCCTACCTCTTCTTTTTCTTAATAATTAGGAAATGCAAAACACATTAGTGAAATGGGGATATCCTGTAATGTTTTACCCTGGATTCCTGAAGCTCTAGATCCCAAATCTCTTTCCAGCCTCAATTCTCAGTCCTCTCACATTTTATTCTCCAGTACTACAAAACTTGTTTTGTAAACCATAACAGCCCCTCCACAGATAAACTCCTTTTCTGCTCACCCCAAGAGATAACCCCTGACTTATGATGGCTCAACATTTAATTTTTTTGGGCTTTATGATGGTATGAAAACAATATGTATTCAGTAGAAACCATATTTCAAATTTTGAATTTGAATCTTATCCTGGGCTAGTGATCTGTGGCCCAGTACTCTCTTTTGATGTTGGGCAGCTCCAGTGAGCCACAAGACCAGGAGGATAAACTAGTGATATCCAACAGCATAGTGCAGTGATGGTGAACGTTTTAGAGGTTTCTGTGAGAACAAAGAGCCTGCCTGTTGCAGTACTCATGCCATAGGCTTACCACCACTGGTGTGTTGTGCTAAGTTATGAGGGTCAGTAAGTTAAATGTAATAGATACGTTCTTTACTTATTAATATTTTCAATTTATGGTGGGTTCATTAAGCTGTAACTCCACTGTAAGTCATTCAAGGAGCTTCTGCAGTTTTCCTTCCCTCCTTCCAGAGCAAACCCTCCTACCCTTCAAAGTATGTGATGCCCCACAACACACACACCAGGCCTCTATTATCACTTGCCACTGGTACCACTGTTTTTTCCTGTCTATGCATTCTTCTTTCCAACTAAAATCATGCGCTCTTTTCAGACTTGGGTCAAACCTCATCTACCTCTGAATTCTAACACTGTACCTGGCATAGGAAAAATTCACAGTAAAAGGCTGTCAAATCTCCATTTAAGGAGAAGGTACTCCTTCTACCTCCTTTTTGCTCCACCCAGAAAGCCACCAGCTCTATCTGGAAGTAGGCCCCACCCCCAAATCTCTCAATTTATGCAGAACATTTTGCTGCTTGGAGTCTCTCCATCCAACACAATATATTCCAGCAAAGCAAAGCTTCACAGAGAGCCAAGGTGGCCCTGCCCAGTTAGTCTTCCCTCACAGAGGTATGCAGTATGTCAATACAAGCTAGACTTGTATGCAAACACATGACAGTTCTCTGAACTCTATCTCTGAACTAGCTAGGTTTTTCTATACCTCAATGATATTTGCTCTTGATCAGTGTGGATATGGTATGCAAAACTGTATTGAATTATTAACAATTCTGCTAGAGAACAAGGACTACAGCAAGGAAAATGTCAAGGGGACAAAATCCTGAGTTTAATGGTGCCAAATGCCAAGAAGGAAATACTTCCACCAGGGCCTCATCCCAAGGTCATGCACAAAGATAAGAGGACTCAGGCAAATACAGAAGCAGAAAGCCTGGCAGTTTTCAAAAACACAACTGAAAAAACATTTACGGATCCAATAGATTTTGTTATAAAATAATTATAAAGAAGAGGAAAATCTTAAACACTGTAATTTGAAAACAACTGAGTAGGCTATAAATCTGCACAAGGCAAATGAAATTTTATAATCCACGTCCTCTGGCTTTTACTCAAGAACATTTGTTAAAAGACGAAGAGGAAAAGGGAGGAAATAACACATCTAAAAGGCTGGATTTTGAGACTTCCTAGCATCTTTGATAACACAGAGATCATACACAGTTCTGACTGTTTCTGACTATCAGTCTCTTTTTCAACTCTGACCTCAGGATCCTGGCAGAAGCCAGAGATACAACTTGGTTTCGGTTTATTGGGCACTATAGCAAAGTACTGCCTTCCCATTTTCCCAGATTTGAGGGTCCCATAAAATATCCACAGGGATTTGGAATGGGAATTAGTTGGCCATCACCTTTGTCACTGGTCTGGCTTTGTAGTAACTGGAGGAAATTTCAAATATATGAAATCCAATCTGAAGGGATTTGGCCAAGCAAGGTTCCACTAGCAAGAAAGCTACTCTGTTCTTGACTGATGGCCTTCCTACAGCTTGGCAATGGGGTTCTATTAGCACAGGAGCATCCTCTTCTCTTGGAGAACCAAAGCACTGTGGATTCCACGTGGAGGAACCGCTGGTGCCTCCCAGCTGTGGAACACTCTGAGGAAAGCACAGACCCTTTTCATGTCTTGGGCACAAGATGGCAGTATACAGGAGTGCTGTATTTCAAATGCTGAAAACCTATTACTAAAGCCACTTTAGTTATAGTGGGAGGGGGGTGCTGAAATTTAAATCTATTTGTTTTATGTGCAAAGTGAGCAATGTGAATATTCTTAACTTTTCCAGGAACGAATAATTATTGAACTTTACACATTCAACGTACTCCAAGTTCCGGGATATCCTAGACGCCTACCACTTTGCCCACCCCACACACATCCGCCTCTTGCAAACTTGGGTTAAGAGCCACCGCACCAGATAACCCCCGGAGCCGCTTGTGCTCGCTCACTTCACCTCTGCTCCTCTTGGATTCCTCCGGGGGGGATCCCGAACTCACCGCTCAGTTGCCCACACGCCTCAGACTATCAAAGCATTGCCTCGTTTCTCAAAAGGGTAAGACTATAGAGGCCATCGATCACCTAAAGTGACAGGAATTGGTCTGAGAATAAGGGGAACAAGTTTAGAAAAAGTAGGGAAAGATAAGTGAGGAGGCGGGGGTGCTGGGGTGAAGGAAGTAAGGGGAGAAATAAAAGTAGGAAGATGAAGGGGGGAAAAAAGGAAAGAGAGAAGGGGAGTGCGGAAATAAAGAAAAGAAGAGAAGAAATGACAGAATGGGGAAAGAGGAAATAGGGAAAATAAGGGAAATTGCCAGGGATTTAGCTCAGTGGTTCAAGCACTTGCCAGGTAAGCACGTCGTGGTGAGTTCTATCCCCTTTACAAAAGAAGAAAAGACGGGCTGGGAATTTAGCTCAGCGGCATAAGCGCCTGCCTAGCAAGCAGGCAGTCGTGAGTTCGATCCCTGGTACCGATGGAAAAAAAAAAAGACAAAAGAAGAAAAGAACAGAAAAGAGAGCGATAAGGGGAAATGACTAAAGAGGTAAAAAGGAAAAGAGGAAATAGAAGCAGTGGCAAAGTAGAAGAGAGAGAGACGGAAGAAGCAGAGCAGAGGGAAGCCTGCTGGGGAGCAAGCAATCCAGGAAACCGGGACAGACACCTCAAATGGGGTTTAGGGAAGGGAAGAAAGGGCAGGTGGGAAAAGGGAGCGGAGGATCAGTGGGGAGAAAGAGACAGACACTGCGGAGAGTTTGAGCGTCTTTCTAGGTACTTATTCCTGGCACTCGCCCCCTGCAAGGGAGACCACTCTCTGCAGAATCGGTTTTAGGGGGAGAGCTTATAAAGCCTCGCTCGCCAGCTGCCGAAGCGCGCCTTTTCTCCTGCAGGAGACGCCTCCGCGGTGGGACTAGGAACTGGGAACCTTTGCTTCCCGCAGAGCTCGAGACTCACGAGGTGGGGGTTCAGAGCGTTGCGCGCGCTCCGCGCTCCGGGTGGGCTGCTTTGCGGTTTGCTGTCTAGGGGATGCACCATGAGCGCAGAGGAGGCCCAACCTGAGTCGCTGGGCGCGCGCCGAAAGGAAAAGCCCGGTGGTGCTCGGCGGGAGCGCTGGCCAGGGTGGTGCGACCGGCCGCGTGGGCGTAAGAGCGCTGGCGGCGGGCTCAGGGGCTCACCGGCTGTGGGGGCAGCACTGAGCCGCCCGGCCAGCGCCTACTAGGGCAGCGGCAGTGTGTCCTCCGCCGGCCCCTCTGGGGTAATTTACATGCTGTCACAACCCGATGCTGACTAGGAGGCTTGCAGCTCGCTCACTTGCTCTTGGCTCCTGCCACCGCTCAGCCGGCTCAGCCCAGGGGAGCCCGAGCGCCTGGAAGGGAGGGGACAGAGGAGGGAGGGAGTGAGGGCGCGCCCCAGCTTTCCCTCTGCCCTGCAGCCCGCCCTTCTTGCAGCCTCCGGTTCGCCCGGAGCACCGCTCACACTTGGAAAACTTAGGTCTGCGGCGGGGCGGTATGTGGCACCTCAGCGAAGCGGCCCTGGCCCGAGGGGGGGAGGGGAAAGAGGAGGAAGTGAGCCCAAAGGATCTGCTGTGAGCTGTTTGTCCAGCTGTTTCTATTCGCACCCCCAGCAGTACAACCAGAAGGGGGCCGAACCGACAGCTTAGGGTGGCTGGCTTTAGACGCTAATTTCCAACTCTTGTCCTTACAACTTGTCTTTTCCAGGCACCCTGGAGTCCCCTCAGACCAGCCCGGCGGGCACACACCTGCCAGCCTTCCCTGACCTAGCAGCTCTGGCGGCTCCCAAGCCTGAGAAAATGGCCCAGTCCAAGATTGACTGCCGCTCACCTGTCGGCCTCGACTGCTGCAACTGCTGCCTGGACCTGGCCCACCGGAGCGGTCTGCAGCAAGGCAACAGTGGGGAAAACAACCCGGGCAGCCCTACAGTGAGCAACTTTAGGCAACTGCAGGAGCAGTTGATCTTTGAAAATCTCAATACTGACAAGCTCAACAGCATAATGAGGCAGGATTCTCTAGAGCCTGTGCTGCGGGACCCCTGCTACCTGATCAACGAGGGCATCTGCAGTCCCAACATCGACCAAACTATGCTCTCCATCCTGCTGTTCTTCCACAGGTAGGTAGCTGGGCACATGAGTGGTTATGCATTTCTGCTAGACCCTTGCCTCTTACAAAAAGGGAAAAGCAGGAAGTTCACCAGAGAGACTGGGAATGTCAGGCTCACAGGTTGCCCTGACTGGACTTTTGGCTACCCTGGAGCCTTGCACAGCTCAGGGGAAGCCTAGCAGGTGTGATCCTGTTTGGAAAGGTTCCCACGAAGTTTCATAAGAAGGCTGGGACCCAAAAGGTGAGCAGATCCTATATAGTTTAGAGGACGGTACCACTCCTTCTTGAATGCCCAGCCCCTCAGGACATTCTGCTATGGTGTCCTCTTGGAATTTGAGTTCCACCCTACTGAGAAGCTCATTTCTTTTCTTTTGGTATCAGGGATCAAACTGACAACCTCATGCATGCCAGGCAGGTGCTTGTGCCACTGAGCTAAATCCCCAGCCCCAAAAACCTCATTTCTAAGTGTCTAGACTCTGAATGAAACCGTAAGAGCTTTTAAATTACTTAGTGACCCTGACTAACAAGACAAGCAAAATGTCCAGACAAATTAGGCTGCTGCTGTTCTTAGAAGGTACAAGGCAGGACATAAGAAAAACTAGAGACTTGTGCGAATTTCTTGAGAGTTCAGATGGGGGAGAACCCCCATTGCCTCCATAGATCATAGCCTTTGATTGTATACACAAGCAAAATGCACTTCTAGAGAGTAACCTGGGACATCTTCTGTGCCTCAAGAGCTGCATGTGGCAGCAGAATGTATGAATTCATATCCTCCATGCAGGTGTATGTTCCAGTGTAGGTCAGACTCTCTAGAAATCTTGCTGGAGAGGCAAGGAAGGGAGAGTGGAGGAGAGAAAACACAGTGAGCATACCCAAAGTGGCTGCTGTCCTGTAGTCTGAGAGACTCTGGTGAAAACAACTTAACAACCGAGGCAGTGTAAAGCAGAGGAAGGGGCACTTCAGGAAACCTTACTTTGGAATTTGGTGTTCTCTGTGTGTGTGTGTGTGTGTGTGTGTATGTGTATGCAGGGTGCTTCTAGAATAAAAGCAAGTGTATGCTCAATAACACACAGTTATGCAAGAAAAAGATATTCTTGCAATGGGAGCCTAGATAGTAAGTACTAGTTATGCCCCTCCTTTTACATGTGAGCCTGAGTAAGTTGTCGGACTTCTCTGATCTCTTTAAGGCTTCTTGGAGCTGAAGTTCTTTGTCACAGGCAGGTAATATTCCTTAAGTGATAAGAAATACTGAGCACTCACAGAATACTTGGGTGGCTCTAAGCGTCAAACAAGAAGATCTAAACTCAGTTGAGAAAAGGCAAGAGCTACTCTCACTTACTGCTAAGACTTTGTTTGCCTCTCTTGTCCCAAGATGAATCCACCACTGCCTCACCCTTAATGCCAGCCCTAGTGGTTTCAGGTAGCGACAAGCAAGGCTCCTGACTTTGTTAGTATCATCAGAACAAGTTGTATTTCTTAGGTATTTTCAATGCCATTGAGACCTTTCCCATCTATTACTTCACTTTAGGTTTCAAATTACCTCATTGTCTAAAATAAAGCAAAACATGGAAGGAACAGGTTTTAAGAGAATCTTCATTTCTGGTGAAAGATTACTGTAAGCGTGTTTAGCCCATAGATGCTGAATCTCTGCAGAGTGAGATCCCTCACAGGATCCTAATGATCTGGGCTCTGTTGGGCAGGGCAGGTTGGGGAGAGTATCTGGAAGAGTGGCCCATAGCTTTTGCATTTTTTCAACTAAAAGAGAAACTCCCCTCACCCTGGGTGGGAGTTAGGTAAAATATGAGAGGAGAATGCTTCCTTTGGTTCTGGTTCTGGGCCTAGGTGGGTTAGATCTGGCTGAGGGAGGTACAAAGGGTAGGAGCCTGAAATCAAAGTGTTCACTTGTGCTATACTTAGGGAGTGTCATAGTTGTTTGGGTTACTTGAACGAGTGACTTCTTTTGTCATCTATTCTATTTACACTGATTTATTGATATTTGGTTCTTGGAAAAGTCTGAAAATGCTACAGAGTAGGGCTGGGGAGTGTTGAAGGCACTGGTTGAGGAAAGAGAGTGAACTGTTGAACAGGTGCCCCAGAGCACCTGGCCTCCTGAGAGCAGAGCAACTCAGTGCCCTAAACCACTGAGGAACAACTCAGGAGGCTGTCAGGTTTTCTTGAAGTTTAGGTGTGAGTGACAGGGTCCTGCAGTAACTACCTTATTAATTTTACCAGTACAAATCATTCTCTCATTTTCCTTGACAACTGGGATCTTAGAGATTTGAGGTTCTGAATTCAATTTAGGCTTTTCCCAGAATGACATGCACATTAGTACACTCAGCGACCATTACTGCTGGTCATTGGATTTCTCCAGTATCTGGGCTGGATAACTTTCTCCTAAGTGAACACTTCCTCTCTTCATTTAACTCGTTGGATTTCTGTCATGTCTCAGCTAACATGTTTACTCTCATTACATCTCATGAATAGACATTTCCTATTAGAATATCTTCTTCCTTTGTGGACTTTCAATACCACTGCTTATACTGGAAAAATTACCATCCCCGGCCCTAGTTCTGCAGCACATTCTATTGCTCTGAGGACTTTCATATTCTTGGGAAGACAGCAAACCCAAGACACATTCTTCATTTATATATATTGTGGCTGCTTTGACCTATCCCTGGCTACCATCTTAGGCCTTGGTTTCCTTGAAGTACAAGAGTGTAGGCAATTTGAGAAGAGAATCTTTTTTGGGTTTAAGTGTAGCTATTCTTTTTTTTTTTTTTTAAGTTTTAATCACACACAGTAGCTAATAGGCTGATAGAAGGCCTGATGGACAATGCTATATATGGTAATGGATATGCAGCTTGTTGGTTTGTAAATAGTGCCTGTACGCTATTAAAACACATGTTTTAAACACCACCCCTTCAATCTTGTGTTATGTAACTAATAAATACAAAGAATTAATAGTTGACATTTATTATAAATTAATAATGGGTACTAAGTATTTTGTCTTTATAATGTCATTTAATATTTATAGAAACCTAATGAAATAATATTATCAACCATTTTCATTTTATAAAGAAAGAAACTGAGGCTTGGTAAATTAAGTAACTTTCCCAAAGCTTCACAATGAAGAACAGACCCAAGATTGTAAATGAGGTCATAGATTCTAAAGTACATAGATTGTTTATGAAGAAAGACTTGTTTAAAACAGTCAAAATATAGGCATGATGGTACATTACTACAATCCCAGCACTTAGGAGGCTGAGGTAGGAGGATTACTAGGAGTTCAAGGCCCCACGGTAGGTTCAAACCAGACTTAACTGCCTAGTAAGACCCTTATCAAACAAACAAAATAACTGAACTAAACTTAACACTAAGGAAATTTGTAGAAGCATGAGGTTGTGAGTTCGATCCCCAGTACCCCACCCCCCAAAAAAGAAAAAGAAATTGTTAGAACCCTGGATATTGTCTGTGAGCCCAGAATCTTTCTAACTGGTCAAAATATCTTTATGAGGTAGAGAGACCACCTATCCTAGCCCTGGGACACAGGACTTTCATTAATCAAACCGGGACAGTCCCAGGGAACCTGGGATAGTTAATCACCCTATTATTAGGGGACTCTCCCTTGTCATTTGATTATGCTTCAAAAACTGAAAATTTAGGTGGGTGGTAGAATGTACTGGGAAGTTTCCAATGTAAATATAATATATGGAAAGCTTCATAAATAGACATTTGAAGGACTAATAATTCTCTGATCTATAAGGTAGGTATAGCAAGCTGGGATAGAAGTGTTAACAAAATTCTGTTATGACTGTTGTTGTAACCTCATATTTATTTCTAAAGTTTTACCCAACACTTTCATATCAACTCTTTTCTGCACTTGACTAAAAAGCATGCCTGTGTAGTGTCGTCTGAAATATGTTGGATCTTGGGCTCCCTTCACCTCTAGAAGCCCTGGTATTCTGCCTTTAACCATATGACCTAGCACCAGCTGGTTTCCACACATAGATGCTCAGAAAATAGTACTAGAAGCAAATCTTTCTGAGTGCCCCCCATGTGTGCTAATTCATTTACTATTCTCTAGTGAGCTGATACACAGTAATGTAGAGGAAGGATATAGATTCAGAAATCAGGTTTTCAAGAAGATTTTACATGAAAATATCTGAGCTTTGTCTGAGTCTTAGAAGTGATGATTTCATATGTATATTCCTGGACCTGGCTTCTGAAGTGGTAGTCACTTGTGTGGTTTGATACGAAGAGCTGCCTGCTATAGTGTCTAAATTTGTACTATGTAAGATTCAGTTCTCTGTCCCTGCACCATCTAAATCCCCTTCCCATAGCACCAGTGGTATGTAGACCACACCGTGAGAAACCCTGAATTAAAGATTGCAACCTTTTGTCAACTAATTTACCATTTGATTTAGGGATATAATTCTTTGCCACAGAGAGCTGTTGGGTTTCTGTGTGGTTAAGCTTGACATTCTTTGCCTTTGTGATTTTTGCTTTTGATACCAAGCTTTGAAAGTCCTTCTTTGGCCCAAAGTAACTTAAAATAGCTGTTTCTGGAGTGTCTATTGGTCTGACAAAGAAACACTCTTCAATTAATGGACAGTCTCCATTAAAAACGCAAAAGCCTTTTGCAGTCTTTATATCCATGGTTTGGATATCTCACGAAAACCCTGACATGTAAGAAATTGTCCTTTTGCTGAGATGCAGATGTGAATATCATTTGCTAGGAGGCTAGTATGTGGAGAATAATCTTTTTGCTGAGTAAGTCTGGCACACCTCTTAGCACCTGCTACTAGGTATGGGTATGTGTTACATATTCACATATCATAAGATACAATGTCATTTAATATGGTGATATATATATATATATGTATGTATATACATATATATAACTCATTGCCATTTCAGTATTTTTAAGTACTATGTATACCATATATAAGCCATCATCATTTCCAGAACGTCATCATCTCAAACAGAAACTGTATACAATGATATTCCATT